TAAGGGATTTTTTATGATTTGGTATCAACATTCTGGTCGCTGCATTAAATTGTAACTTTTAAGCTATTTGATCAATTCAAATGTTGTATTCAGAAAATTTGTTTGAAATTACATAACTAACAACATTTTCTTACAACTGAAAACTCTAACGCAAATCAGTTTAGAGTAAAATCAAATCAAAAGTGTCTGTATTAATCAATCAATAGTTTTTACAGAATCCTGTGAGTTTGTCAAAGGTTTTACTATAATATTAAGATAATGCTTGTTCAGACCTTTCATTTGATACCCCACACGACATATGTGACGTCACAAAGTCTCAACCCTTATTTGACCCGCTGTACTATTTATAGTACACCCAATCGTTTATTCCTTGTAACTTTTAAACCGTACGTCTGATTTTAATGCAATATCAAAGAAATTTGTGCAAAATTAAAGCGTTTACAATATTGTCTAACATTATAGAGACCTACAGCAACTCTGAATACTTTAAAATTGCGATTTAAACAAGAAAATTTATCTCACAAAGCGTTGTACGGAACCCTAATGTTTTTTCAAGTCTTTTATTTATATATTTGAATTGGGGTCGTCGAAACCTTTTAAATGATTGAATAAATGATCCAATCGTTTATTTCTTGTAACTTTTAAACAGTACCGATTTTAATGCAATATTAGAAACATTTGTGCAAAATTAATTTGTACATAATATTGTGTAACATTATAGAGACCTACAGCAACTCTGTATACTTTAAAATTGCGTTTTTAACAAAAAAAATTAAACTCACAATATATTGCACGGAACCCTAAAGTCTTTTATTTATATATTTGAATTGGGGTCCCTTTTAATTTGGGACTTTGGGAGCCCTTTTAAATGATACCCCACATGACATATGTGACGTCACAAAGTCTTAACCCCAATTAGACCCGTTGTACTATTTATAGTACAACCAATCGTTTATTTCTTGTAATTTTTAAACAGTACCTCCGATTTTAATGCAATATTAGAAACATTTGTGCAAAATTAATTTGTACATAATATTGTCTAACATTATAGAGACCTACAGCAACTCTGTATACTTTAAAATCGCAATTTAAACAAGAAAATTAACACCACAATGTGTTGTACGGAACCTTAATGTTTTTTCAAGTCTGTCAATTTGATATTTGAATTGGGGTTGATGA